CATTAATTGGAACTTTTAAATGCTCCCAATTTAGTGCAGAGTCCACGATGATCGACATTACCGATGTTTGTGGCAAATGTTACAAAATGCCGTTGTAGAAACGAACAAATTCGCTGAATAACATTACTGAAAAATCAACTGATGAGCTAATTATCATGACACTGTTACACCATGGCACATAATTTTTTTGTTTCATACAATTATTTTATTTACGAATTGAAACAGTGTCTTCCCGTTCAAAACTTAAGGGGGCTGTCTACCTAATTAATGCGTTTTGAAGCGGTCGGAAAGAATATGCGACTAGACGTGAAGAGAATATTCTGAGAGTTTTGGAACAAGTTTTAAATAACTTATCACTTTTTTCTATAGAATGCAATGCATTTCACTTATATTTTTGAATACATTATGCTAATTTACTTCAGAAATCAAATATTTGAAAAAGTATAGTTTTCTTACAGCGCGCAAGATATTTTCAAAGCTATTCATGCAAACGCAATCGTCAAAATTCCGACGTATTCTACAAATAATTTGCCACAAATTGTCATAATCGTTTTAGAAAATAATTAGAATTAACAAAGATACAATTTTTTTAAATCAAAATAATTTGTTACATAAAAAATAATATTGATATTAATAAATTAAATCATTATTTGTAAGGAACGACAAGAAGATACCGCATTCATTTTTATGTTTTACAGGAGCATTAATGAAGAAATCGAAAATATCTGGAACTGATCGGAAAGGTCGGAATATATATATACCGGCAAAATATTGCAGCTCTTCTGAGGAGAATACTACAACGAAAATGATTAATGATAGACCTGATAATATTAATATGGAATACGAAATTGGCAAGATGGTCTCGTCGTTAAATTGTGCACCTTCTGCATATACTAACTCGGCGGAGTCGTCAGCGCCAAGCACCATCGCATCCGAAACACCACCACAAAGCAATGTGTCCTACCCTTCAAATATTGAACCGCTGCACAATTACAACTCGACACAGTACTCGAATCCAAAGCAACATTCGAACTCAATGCACTCACCGCAGTACACCAACATGAACACCGTTCCTGCTCTATCCGGTTACGCACCGCCATTTCCATATCACCATCATGGAAGTCCGAATAATAATGGACAAATAGATGACTTTCTAAAGACAATGTTGGATGCAATCGAGAAGGTGGGCACTGCAGTATATGCAATCCGAGACGAAATTAATGAACGACTCGATGGATTCGAAAAACGTATATTTGAGAATGTCGATAAGTTACGGAAAGATCTACTGCAGTAAGTGTTTCCTTTTTGTTTCATATTCTTTGAATTTTTACATGACCTCCTTTCTAATTTTTCTATCAATTATTTCACAATTTTAACTAAAAATTACATAAACAATAATGTGTTTCGTTAGGCAAATGGTTGATCGTAATGCTCAACAGCCACATCAGTCCTATAAACCACCGAATGGGTTTCCTTTGCGAACGTTGGAGCAGCTGGATGCCTTCCTTCAAAATGCTGACCAAATACAAAACTTGGTAAACAGATTTTACTATACAATTAAAGTTGTGTTAAAAACATTTTGTCATTATAAAATAAAATAGTTAATGTTGTATTTTAGTGTTTGTCAATGTTTTATATAATAATATTAATACACTCATGGAAAAAAATAAGGATTACCTGTTTTTGTTTTTGTGAAAAAAGGCTACTTTTTCAAACGTCGTAACATTGGAATGGGAAGTCGTAGAAAGACGTATAAAAATTGACTTTAAAGCTTTAACTGTCTACTTTACACTGATTTGAACTGACAAGGTCTAAAACGATTAGCCTTAAAGTTATGTAACATTGAAATAAGTGGCGAAATCTGGAAGTTATTGTCTTGATGCTTTGCACGTGGACATTTTTTGTTTAAATGTTTAAAACAGGCAAAATAGAAAATTTAGTAAGCTTTGTAAAGCAGTGTAAAGTATACAGTTCAAGTTTAAAATTCCATTTTTATACGTCTTTCTACATCTTCCCATTCCAATGTTACGACGTCTGAAAAATGAGCCTTTTTTCACAAAAAAACAGGAGATTCTTATTTTTTTCATGAGTGTATAATTAATAAATGCACGAAAAAAAAACATCCATTACAATTGTAACATATTAATGGAAAATATAATGTTATGCAGAAATTGTATCTATCGTCCGTCGGCGGAGGAACTGTCAAGGAAACGCTGAACCAATTTCTAAAAGAAACCCTTCATGAGGAGTTGGTGACAAATTTTACGTGGGTTAGAGCTGAAGGAACTCGTTCTGTGTACAACTCTAAAATGGCAGAGATATATTTTGGTAATGTAGTATGTACTACTCTTTTTAAGTTACATATTGTATTCCCGTTGGCAAAATATGTACGAAAAATTATGATAAACTGTATTTGTATTCAAATTTTGTGAACCTTTATTAATAGAAAGTGTACATTATTTATAAATAGAACGGACTTTTATATATTCTCAATAACGATTTAAAAAGTTCATAATTACGTGTATGGGTGCATCGACACAATAACGTAGCGATCGTTGACCGCGTATATTTCCGAAACTAACCATACCACGAGGTTGTGTCTATTGACACTTTTCTTCAAGTACCTCCAAATTTTAACATATTTCAATTTTAGCGAATTTGACCAAAAGAACGTTTCCATAAGATTTGCGCGGGGTCTCTTTCTTTACTTTTTAATAATATTAAAAAAACCACTTTTATTTATCATTTGCAGATGGTCTAGTACTATGCAATAGGAGAGTAGGGAGTCGTGAATTCGCGCAGACAATGCAGGAGGTTTTGCGCATTGCTAAACAGCGAGGTCGAGACAAAAAACGACGGGAAAGGTTCCCACTGGGTCCAAGGCAGCAAATCGAACGTGAAATCGAACAGAGATATGGTAGAGGGCAACAAATTGTTTTCCAGAGAAAAAATGGAAGGGAGGATTCCAATGAAGAAAACAACAATTCAGATAGTAATTCGGAAAATTGAATCTTCTGTATTATCTTTTTGATTTTGTTTTATATTTCTTTTAGCCTTTCGATGGCCGTGCTTTAAGACTGCCTATAATTTACGTATTATATTAATATACTATATATTATAATTAATATAAAGGTGTTACTTTTGAATTTAAAGTCGTATTCAACTGTGATAAAAAGTTTTTTTTTTTATAGAAAATAGAAATGGAAAAGGTACATATGTCTCTCTTATTATTATTATATTATTTTTTAAGTCAAATCAGACCAAATAATCACAAATAAAACGTTTTGTTAATTAACAGTTTCTTATTAATGTCCCATTACTATAAAATTTGGATTTTCACATTTCTATAAACTGATAATTTCGGTTAAAATGGATCAGAAATGTTATTATTATATATATACTCCGCGTTGACAGTAGCGACATAATTGTGGTAGGAATAAAAACCTAGTCGAATTTACCCAGTTGATTTATCGTATAAATAAATAGTGTAACAGTTTGACCTAATCAATTGATTCGATAAAAGTAAATTACTGAATAACATACAAAATAGTTAATTTATAATTTTAAAAAATTTTAGTTT